CTCGGACGACAGGTCGAATTCTTGAGAGCTGAGGCTATGATGTTGGTGAAATGACTTGGGACTTGAAAGGGATGTGATTGATGGTATTATACTGTAGTTGCACAATCTTGTGAAGCCTGGAGAATAAAGAAGCGGTGGATAGCTTTTTCAAGCCGAAGAGCTGGTCTTGAGCTGGTCCGGATCATCGCTCAGAGCCAAGACCAAGGCGAAATTCGAATCAAGGTCAATTTGATAAAGAAATAAAAGCATTATTGTAAGATATAGAGTTGAGACAGACGAGAAGCTCGAGCTCCCATGAAATCAAACAGATCTGCGACGTATCAACACCGCCACAATCTAATCAGCATATTCGCACGCCGCCCGTCTTGTCGTTGTCTCCTACCGCGATGGAGGCGGGATCGATGAGCACGAGCACAGACACAATCCGCACCCTCCACACCCACCAGTCCTCCCTGTCCCGTTCGCCGACGCCGTCCCCACCCGACAGCCCGTCCCTCTCCGCCTCGGGCTCCTCCGTGTCCTCCTTCCCCTCCGTCTCCAGCTCCTTCTTCTTTAGCTCCGCCGCAGCGTCCCCGCCGCACGTGCCTCCACTCGAGGGGGAGACTCATGGCCAGCTCATTATTCCGGAGTTGGTGTTGCCTGCTGCGCATGTTGTCCCACGGACGTCGAATTCGAAAGTAGAATTGAAGGAAGAGAAAGGGAAAGTAAAGCAGGGACCGACGACCCGCCTACTAGTCTTCGGCCCGCGCGCCGCCGCCGCTGCCGCGCTCTGTGTAGACAGCCCCAGCGGGTGGGTCGTCGAGGAGGACGGGCTGAGTGTGTTGCGCGCCGAGTCCGCGTGGCGGGATGACGATGCGCATGACGAATCAAGCGGCACCCTCGAGTTCGTCTCGCTCGGCGAGGATGTGCATCAGGTGTGTTCTCCCTTCTCTCAGTATCCTATCAAATGAAGCTAACACCCACGCAGTTCTCCCTCCCCACAACCACACACCGTATCCTCACGCCCTTCCGCGCCATCGCCGCGCTGCTCGCCCCGCCCGTGCTTTCTTCTCCGGATAGGGAGGAGGAGGAAGTGCTGTTGAGGGGGATGTTTGGCGGAGCGGGGTGCTGATTTATAGGGCGTTGGTGGTGCTGCTTCAGCGGGACAGAACCTCAGGTGCGTGTCCGTGCACGCATATCTTCCCGCTCATTCCTTTGCCTATCCCTCCCAGCTTCAGCGCCCACACGGATCCCGCTGGATCTCACTCACGCACTGCGAATCTCGTTAGCAACAAGTGCAAGTGCGAAGCGGGGAGAAGGGCTGACCTGACTCGAGATACTCGGGCTGGTGCGCTGGTACGTACTTCTACACTACTCTCAATGACCCACGCCTGATCCACCCTGTACTCCCCTCATCCCCTCCATCCAATCCAACCCTCCGCTCGCCGCACGCTGCCCGAGCTCGCCTGCATCTGTCGTAACCGATCATGTACCAAACTCGTTAGAGAAAACAATCAATCCTTATAAAATAGCCTACCTCCGTCCGAGCGACGCCCAAGTAGACCCGCAACGCGCGCTGGGAAGGAAAATACAAATTCAGAAGTGCGCGATATCGAGTCAAGCCGGACAACACGTACCTGTGCGCCGCAAACCCGCGCGATGAGCCATCCGACTCGCGCACGTCGAAGCAGATCTATAACTTCAAAGTCAAGTCAGCGCGCAATTCTAGCCAACGCAGCGAAGCCTGCTTACAAACTTTTCAATCAGAACCTCGGGCAGCGTCTCCGTGAGCTCGCTAGCCCGCGCAACTGATTCACGCGCTGGTGACTCGCACACACCAAACCAGATCTATAAAGTCAAGTTAGCGCGCAAGTCTCCAATGCCGCGAAGCCTGCGCGCCTTACAGCCTGAGCTCTCGAAGCTCCGCATGTTGGGTGGTATCAATCAGCCACAATGTCCATACTGTGGATTGCGCCCAAGGTTGAATGTCACTCAGATTCTCCTGGGCCGTCTCCGTTTGGAGGCCAAAATCTCGTTGCGGCCACTGCTCGCAATAGCGCCAAGGACATCGTCAACACACCTAATTCTCTGCCTGAGGCTAGGCCTACGGTTCGTTCGACGTGGATATAAACTAACCGAAATTCGGACATTTTACCATTGTTACGCTGTCGTTGATGTGAGTGTTTTCCATTTGTGTTCTTCCTTTCTTCCTTCGTCTGCATTCTTTCTTCCCCCCTTCTCTCGATGATATCTTGACTTACCCAACCCCGCACGGCGCTCTGATCCGAGCCGGTGACTGACAACTTCCCCAGGGCTTGAGGCGCCATCCCGGGTTCGGTAGCGGGTTCGACGATTCAGAGTTCGGCCGCGGGTTCGACGATCCTGGGTTTGGGTTCAAGGATCGCGGGTCTGCGTTCGACGAGCGCGGGTCGTTGTTTCATTAGCCTGTGGGATTCGGCTGAGTTGGGATATGGATACTTAGCCTTAGCTGTACATACGAGTATTGTATAATGGGTTCGCGGGACTCTATGTAATGGACTCTTACTTACTTCTTACCTGGCATCCGCAGCCGGGATTCGACTTGTTTTGTTGGCTGAATCTTTTCAGGTGTCTCGGAAGTTGGCTGTCCGTGTTTTACTCGATCTAAATAGGCTGATCCAAAAAAAGAAAATGCTACCTAGCGAGCTTCAAATGAGTGAAAGGAATCGGACATGGTGTGTGGTACACCGCCTCTATTTCTACGGCGCGTACCTGTTAGAGGCTATCCGGGGTTCGACTCGCCGTGTCCGAATGGTCCGCATAGTGTATTCTGGAATTTTCTTTTCTGTAATGCCCGGCTCGCAGAAACATCCTCCTTGTGAGCGTGGAAAAAGGTTCAATGGAGAATCTCATAATATAAATGGCGTACTAGCGAGGTTGAATATTGTGGGGGCGTCGGGCGTCTTGCAATTGCGTTCATTGGCGAACAATAATAGGGTCGTTCACAGTAGCCTTTTTTCCTTCCTTTTTTGCTCCCTTTTTTGTATTCCCACCGTTTTTCTTCGGATTTTTTTCCCCTTTTCAGTTTGAACATGCAAAAAGGGTGTAAATCCAAAAAATATAGGTCCAACGTGCGATATTGGACGATATCAGAAAAAAAAGGAAGCAAAAAAGGGCCGAAAAAAGGCTACTGTGAACGTTCCGGTTTTCAGCTCCCTTTTTTGTCCCTTTTTTGCTCCTTTTTCTCTCCCTTTTTTTCATTCAAGAGCAAGTATGCAGTTATGGAGCACATTGAAGGCCGTGTATATATTTCCTGCAACTTTCCGACTCGGAGGTTCAGCGGTGACGTGATTACATAACCCTGATCTCTCTTGACACAAACACATACTGTAGTATTTCGTTCAAATCGACACTGGGTGTGACGCGTGACCCAAAAAACCATTTCGACATTTCGACAACCGCCAAAATTTGGCGTGACACCAGCGAAATTTTCGACATCAGAACGAAAATTTGGGCTTTTTCGCGCCCTAAAGCCAATTTTGAGCACTGTGTGACGCTACGAAGGTTCGACAATCGCCGGCGTGACGCGTGACCCCTGCCAAATTTCGCTATCGACAGGGGGTGCGTGACGCGTGACTGTCGATTTGAACGAAATACTACAGTATCTTCATGCCATCTGTCGCTCCATGGGCGGAACTTGGACAGGAAAGGGACCAGCTGGTTGAAGGAGAGGCAATCAAAAAGGGGAGCAAAAAGGAAAGCAAAAAGGGAGCAAAAAGGGAACAAAAAGGGTAACCGTGAACGACCCTAATGTTGCAAAGTACTACGCCTAGTGAGGTTTCTAACAGTACAAGGAATCGGAGATGGTGTAGACCACCTCTCGCCTTGTAGAAGAGTTTGCAATCATGTTGGAGGCAGAGCGGGGTTCGATTCCCCGCGTCCGAATATTTGTCGTAGAGCCTCATATTTTTTGTCCGTCGTTAAGCACTGTGTCAGGGGATCCAAACGAAGTCGGGTAGAGTTCGATCCAACGACCAAGAGGGTTCGTGAATTTTTGGCTCGTCCGGAAACCTGTTCAGACTGATATGTATACTTGAGCTTGGCCGTCGAGTTCAATCGTTTCGGGTATCTCGGGCGTCCACCCCATAGTTTGACGGGGAATGCTAACCTAGTGAACTTCGTAGAGTAGAGGTAAAAGAATCGGATATGGTGCAGGGTACACCGGTCTCGTATTATGAACCAGTGAAAGCATAGTTCCTGGAAGCCACCGGGGTTCGACTCCTCGTGTTTGAATCTTCGATCTCTGTTCCCTTTTTTTTTTTTGGCGCCAGCCTGGGCCTGCGTGTTCAAATCCCACGGTACCACGATGGAACCATCTTCTGGGTTGGCTTTTTCGCAGTCGGGCAACGAGAGTGATTCCGGTTGGGTGTTCCAGAAACTTGCTAGGCTAATGAACTTCGTTGGGGTGAAGACAGTCGGACATGGTGTATGGCACACGGCTTTCCAACACACACTTGAATAAGGCGATTGTTGGAGGCAGACCGGGGTTCGACTCCCCGTTTCCGAATTTTCGATCCCTCGTCCTTTTTTTCACCCGGCCGCCTAGCTTGAGCCAAGGCCTGCATGTTCAAATCCCAAAGTACAACGCAATCGTGATGTTTTCACATGCAAAATTTCTGCTGAATCCGGTTGGGGTGTTCCAGAAAAAATACTTACACGATGCCTTTCGTAAGGCTGAAAGGAATCCGACATGGTGTATGGTACACCGCCTCCATTTCTACGGCGCGTACCTCCGGCAGAGAGTATCCGGGTTAGCTCCTCATGTCCGAATAGCACAATGATATTCCTTTTTGTAATTCCAGGCCCGCAGCTTGTGAACGAAAAAGGTTCAATGGGAGTCCCATAATACCAATGGCGTACTAGTGAGGTTGAATCTTTACGGGCATGTTGCACACTCTCAATATTTTCCAGTGTCTGAGCCGCATCGGCTTTGCAAGAAATTGATCATGGGATCCTAATGAACCTCTTAGGGGTGAAAGCAGTCGGACATGGTGTATGGTACACGGCCTCCCAACATACTGTGATACGCAAAAGCAGATTGTTGGAAGCAGAGCGGGGTTCGACTCCCCGTGTCCGAATGATTGGTCGGATGTTCTACTTTTTTTTTTTTTTGCGATGCCCGGCTCCCCCTTTGGAACGCGGAAAAACGGTTCAATGGGGTTCTCATACTAATGGCTAGTAGTGATGAATATTTTGGGGCATCGGGCGTTGCAATTGCGTTCATTGGTCATTGGTAAATAATCTGGTTGGAATAATGCAAAGTAGTACGGGCTAGTGAGGGTTCCAACAGTACAATGAATCGGACATAGTGTATGGTAGGTACACCGCCTCTCGTCTAGGGGAAAATTGTCGAAATGGAGGTAGACAGGGGTTCGACTCCCTGTATCCGAATGTTGGGCATAGTGTATTCTGGAGTTTTTTTTTCGTGATGCCGGGCTCGCAGAAATATGCCCTTTCGAACGCGGAAAAAGGTTCAATGGGGAGTCTCATACTGTATATTTTCATTCAGTTCGACAGGGGGTGTGACGCGTGACATCTTGAACCAATTCGTCAATTCGTCAAGGCCGATTTTGAGTGTGACCAGGACTAAAATTTCGACAGACCCCCACATTTGTCTAGAATGATCAAGTCCACTCCGGCGCTTGTTCCAAGCCTTTTTCCGCACTCGTTTGGGTTCCACAACACCATATGGCCCAAAATGCAGTTTTACCTCAATTTCTCCTTGTTTCACGATTGATTTTGGCTGGAAACGATAGCTGTGAGCTTGGAATCCCGTAGAAATATGTTTTAAAGTCCAACCTCGAGCTTCGGATGTAACTAGAATATTCTAAGGAATTTTCTTCGGGTACACAACACTTTTTGGAGGAAAATGCGAACCTTGGAACCAATTCGTCAACCGCCCTGGTGACGTGTGACATTGACCAAAGTTCGTCGTCGTCAACACCCCCTGTGACGCGTGACCGACGAATTGAATGAAATTATACAGTAATATCAATAGGGTCGTTCACAGTAGCCTTTTTCCCTCCCTTTTTTGCTCCTTTTTTTGCTCCCTTTTTTGTATTCCTGACGTCCAGGAAGCTACGCAGACCTAACCTGACATACATACCTTGACAGACCTACGCACAGCTACACAGAGCTATATGGAGCCACACAGAGATTGTGTAGGCCTCTAGACAGATGTGGTCTGCCCAGCTTTGCATAGGGACCTTCACAGAGGGTAAGTCTAGGAAGGCCTTGAACGCAGTGATTGTTTATACTACAGGTGAATCACGGGCTGGGGGATTCAGGAATATGAGCCTCGTTATATAGAATTGATGTTTCTCTTGTTGTTGAACTTGAGTCCTGGCACAAATTCAACCGCGATTGTACGTCGGTTGAACTGCTATCAGACTTTAGTTATCTTCTCTGTTGGAGCGTGAATTAATGGGGGAAAAAAACCAAAGCTCCATCTTAGAAGGCTCCCATCGCACTGTTGCGACTCAAAAACGCGGCCGAAGTTGTCACACGCGTCTGGCACGTGATGGCGTAGCTGTCAGTCTGAATTTTGAAACTCCGCTCATCTCCTCCGATCTGGACTTCAAGTTGGAGGTTCTCCGTCCGTAGGACCGCTGTGCCTTGTCTCTCCGTGGTCTCACCAGAACTCGACAGGATCAGGCTGGGATGAATCCACGCCCACACTGACAGCAAAGCGCCGAATGTCTCGATTCTCGAATGCGAGGCTGTCATCGACTCGGATTCTGATTCGTTCCTTTCAACCTGGATGTACAGGAAATAGTAATGAACCACCACTGAACGCCGAATAGCCATTCATTGAATCACGCCTTCGTCGTTGCCAAGGCATAGTCCGCCGTATTGGCATTCCCGAACGCTGCCGCCAGTACGCAACAGAAACTGTTTCATGCAAATATTCGCGGCTCTACCGACCCGCCCAAATTATCGTGGCGGGGATCCTCAGTTCAATATTCATCCCCACTGGCAGCAAGACGTCATTCCCGTCGCGTAGACCGAGTATCTTGGACGCGTTTTCGAAGGCGCAGCGGCACTATTGCCCCCCAAGTGACTGCGCTCTGGGTCGATAGGTGACCGTTTTCACCGTGTGTGCCAGGTCATTCGCCCAGCCTCGGTTCTAAATAGACACAGCGCGCATTCACGATCGTCCGAGGAGCAAGAGCGCCTTGAGCTTCTCGGGTGTCCTCGACAACGAATCCATGCAATATCTTCAGTTTTGATTGGACCAAAGAAATAATGTTCAATGGATTACGAACATATGGCTGAGATCCTCTTTCGGCAAGTAGTACCTTGAGTAGCACTCTTCCGATGTCTGATATGTCGTTCAGGTATCATCCACATCGGGCCCTCGTACCGCAATCATCGACCCAATTAATTAATCGTTTATCTTCTAGCATCGGCATCCGAACGAAACCTCCCTGTATATATTTTCAAGTCCCCCTGTTTTTCCGTTCCCTTGAGGCTTCAGCCTCAGCCTCGTAACCAAATTCTTCGTGAAGGTCAACTGTCAAAACCGCGTGATTAACTCAGCCTTAATAACTGGAGGCAGTGCGCCAAGTCTTTTCTTGACACTTTGCGGTGCAGATCACCCAGGAACCAAATTGACACAAGACAGCAGGTCTCGGCGAGGCGCGATCGCTGAAAAGAGGCGTGCGCGCTCAATCTCTTTTCATTTTCTCATGGCTCCCAATTACTTCTCCTGCGATGTCTGCAACAGCAAAATCTCTGTCAAGGCCGCGCGTATCCACTGTCTCGACTGCGAGGACTACGACATGTGTGTGACCTGCGCCCTCAGCGGGCTGACGGCGGGCACCCATCTCCTGGCGCACCACACGCGCGTGTTCAAGATCAGCGGCGGGGACCGGCACGCGCCCGTCCCGTCCGCAGCCACGATTGTGTACTACAGCGGTCCCGACACGGAGTCGGACGTCATCCCCGCCCTGGCTGCCCTGTCGATCCACGCGCCTGCGGTCGAGAGCACATCCACCGCATCTACACTGTCATCCGTCGCAGTCTCGGCATACACAACGCCCGCAGCCGTCGACCAGCAGCCGATGTACACCCCGCCCGTCGCATACACACCGCCAGCACCAGTATCCGCACCTCTAGAGCCCGCGACTGGATGGGGTCCCTTCTTCCTGGAGGACCTGAGCCCGAGCCCGGCATTCGCGCAGCTAATGAGCGCCATCCTGACCTACCTAGACACCGGGCACACAGGTTACCTCGTCCCCGAGGCCTATTCGCGCTTCCTGGAGGACCAGGCGTACGTCGGGGATAACAACAGCTGTGTGTTCACCGCCCTGCGCACTTCCTTTCACCACTGATCAATTCACGATGCCGATCACGGTGCATACAGGGAAACACAACCTCGTCGCGCGGCGTGGCAAGTCGAAAGAGGACGTCGCGGATGCGGCGCTGAAGCACGTTTACGACCTCCACAGCATAGAATACGTCCTCCGCCCGCGCCCAGGCTCGGGTTCGGGTAACAGCAACACGATGCCGCTCCTAACACTCAAAGGCCTCATGGACCTCACCGCGCTCGAGATGCTCTCTGATCCGTCGACGGAGTGGGGCAGCATCTCGCGCGTGATCAACACGTACGACCTCCCCGCCGTGCGCGGCTGGGGCGCCCTCCCGCGGAGCGTGCTGCCCGACGTGCCGGACCCGCGCATCACAGAACGCGTGGCGCGCGTGCTGGCTGCTGAGGCAAAGGAGCACGAGCGCAGGCTGGAGGCGTCGAGGGTGAAGCTTATGTTGCAGGCGCAGGGTGAGCAGAATGCGTTGGACTTGTTGGATGATCGGAGGTATACGTATAGGTATTATTAACGATGCTGAAATTTTGGAGGGATGTAGAGTTCGGCTGGTTGTACAATAAAACTCTAAATGGGACTGACTCAGCTGAGTTTGCGTCTAGAATGTCCGTCGTTGTGGCTGCGACAAATCGAGGAGCGACGTACATTAGTACAGGCGGGAGCGCCTGAATCGCTATCCACTGCGGCGATTCGTTTGTAATACCGTGGTTAAAACGGCCTTGAAAAAAGTTCGTGATGTTCAGTGAGTTTTACCAGCGATTTTACCCTGAGTAAAAATTCGGTAAAATACCCGTATTTTTTCCCAGCGGTAAAATGATAGCTCTTTGTTCCGTTCAAAAGTTTATCTCACTATACGTTTGCGGGGAGAAGTGTTTTACCTGGACAAAGAATGATATTTTTAACAAAGGAAAAATTCTCCGAAATTTTACTATCCAGTAAAATTGCTAGTAAAACTCACTGAACATCAGGTACTTGTTTCAAGGGCGTTTTACCCGCGGTATTACAAACGGATCACCGCAGTGATCGCAAACCACGCATTTTGATAGTGTCGCCGCTGAAGCCAAAAAATGCCTCAAATATTCTACAATTTGGAATGCAAGAATCTTATGGATTGGCTGGAGGGAGAAATCGACGCCTTATTTGAGGACACAACTCGAATGATAATATGGACATTGCAGTAATTTACAAGTACTTGCTATAATATAGATACAACAACGCAATGCGTAAAAATAAATAAAAAAGAAAGAAATAGTACAAGAACGTACAGTAACAGTAACACTAGTTCGCCTCTCCGTCCTCCTCTTAGCTCACCGCCTCATATGGCTTGCGATAGAATACAATGAAATGGGTCGTGGTCGTTAACCCTGCGGCTCTCCCCCGCGAACACCTCCGAGAGCACATCACTCGCTCCCCCCTCTCCCTCCCCGCCATCATCACCATCCTCGTCCCTCCCCCACCCACACCCACACGCATCCGCACGCAGCCGCTTGCACCCGCCTTTGCACGCAGCAATTTCTCGTTTCACTCCCCTGACGGGGTGGGGTGGGATGGGGATGTGTTAAGAGCGACACTCTCACTCTCAGACTCATCGGCTGGCTGTGCGGAGTTGCGACACTGTCGTGAAAATCCTACCAGTCTGGTACCTTGACACGAGTTGCGACACTGTCGGCAAGGAAGATCAAAACGCCAAACAACACGCACACAACGGGTTTGATCTGATCTGGTCCGTTATTTTCACCTCTTACTTTCTTTCCCCC